CCACTAAGAAGAGCTGAAAAGTGCTGATCTAGGACAATGGATGACGGTGTGATCTATACAGAGCACATGTTTTAGTTGCTGGCAGAGCAGATTGGATAATTGCTGGGATCTATACGTGATAATAGAGTCAATTCCCCATCCATAGGAATGATTTTAATTGCTTTCCATAGATTATCTTTTTATCTCAGGATAACTCTCTCTTCAAAATAGTCCATTGACAAGCTGAGTATTATGTTGATGTCTAGAGATAGATAGATAGATAGATAGATAGATAGATAGATAGATAGATAGATAGATAGATAGATAGATAGATAGATAGATAGAATACATATAGATAGATAGATAGATAGATAGATAGATAGATAGATAGATAGATAGATAGATAGATAGAATACAGATAGATAGATAGATAGAATACAGATAGATAGAATACAGATAGATATATAGATAGATAGATAGATAGATATAGATAGATAGATAGATAGATAGATAGATAGATAGAATACATATAGATAGATAGAATACATATAGATAGATAGATAGATAGATAGATAGATAGATAGATAGATAGATAGATACATAGATAGATAGATAGAATACATATAGATAGATAGATAGATAGAATACATATAGATAGATAGAATACATATAGATAGATAGATAGATAGATAGATAGATAGAATACATATAGATAGATAGATAGATAGATAGATAGATAGATAGATAGATAGATAGAATACAGATAGATAGATAGATAGAATACAGATAGATAGATAGATAGATAGATAGATAGATAGATAGATAGATAGAAATAGAATACAGATAGATAGATAGATAGATAATAGAATACATATAGATACATATAGATAGATAGATAGATAGATAGATAGAATACATATAGATAGATAGAATAGATAGATAGATAGATAGAATACATACAGATAGATAGATAGATAGATAGATAGATAGATAGATAGATAGATAGATAGAATACAGATAGATAGATAGATAGATAGATAGATAGATAGATAGATAGATAGATAGATAGAATACAGATAGATAGATAGATAGAATACAGATAGATAGATAGATAGAATACAGATAGATAGATAGATAATAGATAGATAGATAGATAGATAGATAGATATAATACATATAGATAGATAGATAGATAGATAGAATACATATAGATAGATAGATGGATAGATAGATAAATAGAATACATATATATAGATAGATAGATAGATAGATAGATATAGATAGATAGATAGATAGAATATAGATAGATAGAATACAGATAGATAGATAGATAGATAGATAGATAGATAGATAGATAGATAGATAGAATACTCAGCTTGTCAATTGACTATTTTGAAGAGAGAGTTATCCTGAGATAAAAAGATAAACTCTCTCTCTCTCTCTCTCTCTTTCTCTCTCCACGTCTGCCTTGCAGTAATTGGGTCATGGATTCGATTCCCAACCATGGCGCCTCCTGCATGGAGTTTCCATGTTCTCCCTGTGCCTGCGTGGGTTTCCTCCAGGTGCTCTGGTTTCCTCCCACGCTCCAAAGACATGCTGGTAGGTTAATTGGCTCCTGTCTAAATTGTCCTAGTTTCATCCCTGGCCATGTGGGATCTCCTGCATGGTAGGATTTGGGGAAAGACCTGGCAACCTACCCTGTAAAATAATTGCTAAGAGAATTCATGGAAAAAGTCACTTATAAGTGATGGTCCATGCAATCGCCAAGGGTCGGATACGACTGAAATGAATATATATATTTATTATTTATTTCAGGTACTTATATAGCGCCGTCAATTTACGCCGCGCTTTACATATATATTGTACATTCACATCAGTCCCTAAACCCTCAAGGGGCGTACAATCTAACATACCTAACTTACATTCATGCATACAGGGGTGGACTGACAACTCATGGGGCCCCCGGGCAATAGGGGATCATGGGGCCCCTGTGTCCTTGCCCAAACTCAAAAAAGCCTATGAAAAAGGTACCAGGGGCATCTCATGGGGCCCCCTACTGACCCCGGCCGGGCCCTCAATAGGGGATCATGGGGCCCCTGTGTCCTTGCCCAAACTCAAAAAAGCCTATGAAAAAGGTTCCAGGGGCATCTCATGGGGCCCCCTACTGACTCTGGGCCCAATGGTCATTCCGCCTCTGCATACATACACATATTAGGGCCAATTTATACAGGAGCCAATTAACCTACCAGCATGTCTTTGGAGTGTGGGAGGAAACCGGAGTAACCAGAGGAAACCCACGCAGGCACAGGGAGAACATGCAAACTCCAGGCAGGTGGTACCGTGGTTGGGATTTGAACCAAAAACCCTAGTACTGCCAGGCGGAAGTGCTAACCATTTAGCCACTGTGCTGTCCATGTGTGTGTGTATGTATATATATATATATATATATATATATTAATTAGTATTATTATTTTTTTCTTTTTTCTTTATTTTTTTTACATTTAATAGATACTTAACCACTGAAAGTGTTTGTTTCTCATGAATTTTTATTTCCTCCTCAGATGGTTTCATTTAATGCTGTCTTCAATGGACACTGAAATTCGCAATTATTGGCAGTCAGCCACTATCTGTATTTAAAGTACATGTAAACCCTACTGGGATAACATTTAGTTTACTAAAACACTGAGCATCCTAAACAATTGCCAGATTATTGTTCTTAAAAAAAATATATATATAAAAAAGTATTTTCACTTCTTTTTTGACCTTTTCGGTGCTGTTGATCTGCAGCCACCTTGCTGTCACTTCCTGTCTATATACAGTGCAATGGCGGCTGCATGTTGTATCTCAGGGCAGGTTTTCCAATGGTGACAACTGTGCACTATGCCTGCATGAAGTGTGTTGAAATGACAACTTGCATAGATGCCAACTGTCCCAGATTTCCCAGGACAGTCCTGCTTCTCAGACTTCTGTCCTGATGATGTTGTGTCCCGGGCTGTGTCCTGGGATCCCATCATCACCCTATTTGATTTACTGAGCATCTCAACTAAGGGGAGTGGGACTGGTAGTGGGCAGTTCCTGTATATTCAGGGGCATGACAGCACCAGAAAGTGTCGGTCCTGTGGGTGAGGTGGCAGTTTCCTGGAAATTGGGACTGATATGTTTTTAATTATGCATTTGTGGGCTCCCTCAGATCTCTGTGTGACAGGATGACAACACAGCAGCACTGTAGGAACCAGGGATAGAACGTTGTCACCCTATGACAGGAAGTGCCTGCATAGGAGGATCACCAGAGGTTATTTTACTGAAATTTGCAGATTTAAAAATATTGAAAAAAAAAAACTTTTGAAATGACTTTAACAGGTTAAAGCTTATATGGAATGTTAGTGATTGGGCTTACTGTACATCTTCTTTGAGAAAGTGAAAACCTGTGCAGTAATCTCTGTACATGTGAACACTCCAAATGTTTCATATTTCATACATGAGCCCCAGTCTGTTTAATACAAAATAATGCATGGCCTTTGAGCTCAGAGAGCAAATACAGAGGATATTCTGCTGTCATCTGTAGGGGGTAATGTATGGCTCAGGGAGGATATAGGGAACATATAGTATAAAATAAAGTATGGCTCAGGGAGGGTATAGGGTGCTGTGATATATATATATATATATATATATATATATATATAATATAGGATGTAGTGCTGTGATTTCTGGTTTATACATATCCCAGGCAGGGTGTGTATATGTGTATGTATATATATATATACACACCCTGCATGGGTTATGTATAAACCAGAAATCACAGCACAGCATCCTACACAGCATCAGGCAGGGTGTATATAGGATGTAGGATGCTGTGACTTATAGATGTCTCAGGCAGGGTATATACAGTATATAGGATGCTGTGATTTATACATGTCCCAGGCAGGGTGCATATATAGGATGCTGTGATTTATACATATCCCAGGCAGGGTATATACAGTATATAGGATGCTGTGATTTATACATGTCCCAGGCAGGGTGCATATATAGGATGCTGTGATTTATACATATCCCAGGCAGGGTATATACAGTATATAGGATGCTGTGATTTATACATATCCCAGGCAGGGTATATACAGTATATAGGATGCTGTGATTTATACATGTCCCAGGCAGGGTGCATATATAGGATGCTGTGATTTATACATATCCCAGGCAGGGTGTATATAGGATGTAGGATGCTGTGATTTATAGATGTCCCAGGCAGGGTATATACAGTATATAGGATGCTGTGATTTATACATGTCCCAGGCAGGGTGCATATATAGGATGCTGTGATTTATACATATCCCAGGCAGGGTGTATATATAGGATGTAGGATGCTGTGATTTATAGATGTCTCAGGCAGTATATACGGGATATAGGGTTTTGTCATTTATAGATCTCTTGGGCAGAGTATATATGGGATAAAGGGTGATGTGATCTATAGATGTCTCAGGCAAGGTATATACATTATATAGGATGCTGTGATTTATACATATCCCAGGCAGGGTGTATATATAGGATGCTGTGATTTATAGATGTATCAGGCAGGGTATATACAGCATATAGGATGTAGGATGCTGTGATTTATACATATCCCAGGCAGGGTATATACAGTATATAGGATGTAGGATGCTGTGATTTATATAGATGTCTCAGGCAGGTTATATACAGTAGTATATAGGATGCTGTGATTTATACATATCCCAGGCAGGGTGTATATATAGAATGTAGGATGCTGTGATTTATACATATCCCAGGCAGGGTATATACCTGTGATGGCGAACCTTTTTGAGCCCAAGTGCCCAAACTGCAACCCAAAACCAACTTATTTCTTTCAAAGTGCCAACACTGCAATGAAACCTGAATATCGAGCTTTTGGTTTAGAAAAAACAACTCGTACAGTAGTGCAAACTAATTAACAGTACAGGGATGACCAGAGACTGCGGACAGTACAGAGATGACCAGAGACTGCGGACACAGTACAGGGATGACCAGAGACTGCAGACACAGTACAGGGATGACCAGAGACTGCGGACACAGTACAGGGATGACCAGAGACTACGGACAGTACAGGGATGACCAGAGACTGCGGACAGTACAGGGATGACCAGAGACTGCGGACACAGTACAGGGTATGACCAGAGACTGCGGACAGTACAGGGATGACCGGAGACTGCGGACACAGTACAGGAGATGACCAGAGACTGCGGACACAGTACAGGGATGACCAGAGACTGCGGACACAGTACAGGGTATGACCAGAGACTGCGGACACAGTACAGGGATGACCAGAGACTGCAGACACAGTACAGGGTATGACCAGAGACTGTGGACAGTACAGGGATGACCAGAGACTGCGGACAGTACAGGAGGTGACCAGAGACTGCGGAAAGCACAGGGATGACCAGAGACTGCGGACAGTACAGAGATGACCAGAGACTGCGGACAGTACAGGGATGACCAGAGACTGCGGACAGTACAGATGACTGCTGACCTTTGGGGAGGGAGGGGGAGCGGGTACCTGAATTTGACAGGTACCCGCTCTTACTTCCGCAGAGTTTTTTTTTATCTTACCTGTTCCTTTATCCAGCCGCGCGCTGTCTTCCCGGCTTCTGTAGTGTGGGCGCTCGTCGGACAGCCGGATGCCCAGTGCGCATGCGCGAGAAGCGCTGCGCTTTGTGATTGGTCCGGCGGCTTCTGGGATCTGTCATGTGTCCCAGGTACCGCCTTACCATTCACAAAGAGCACTGCTTCTTGCGCATGCGCACTTGGGACCCGGCTGTCACGCACACTACAGAAGCCGGGAAGACAGCGCGCCGCTGGATAGAGGGACAGGTAAGGTCCCACTGCAGAGCTGAGTGGCCGGCCCGGTATTCTGACACGGCCGCGGTGGAAATACCGGCCGCTCTATATTCGATCCATAAGACGCACTGACATTTTCCCCCCTTTTTTGGGGGAAAAAAAGTGCGTCTTATGGAGCGAAAAATACGGTATTCTCCTGGCGTGCCCACAGATAAGGCTCGGCGTGCCGGCTGTGGCACGCGTGCCCCGGGTTCGCCATCACTGGTATATACAGTATATAGGATGCTGTGATTTATACATATCCCAGGATTTATACATATCTCAGGCAGAGTATATATGAGATACAGGGTGCTGTGATTTATACATGCCTCAGGCAGGGTATTTATATAGGATAGAGGGTGCTGTGATTTATTATCATTATTATTATTTCAGGTACTTCTATAACGCTGTCAATTAACACAGCACTTCACATACATATACTGTACATTCACATCAGTCCCTAACCCTCAAGGAGTGTGCAATTTAAGGTCCCTAACTCACCTACATACAGATACCAGGGCCAATTTAGACAGGAGCCATTTAACCTCCCTGGCGGTATGATTATTTCCGATTTTTGGTGCTGAAAGCGGTACCATTTTTTTCCATGGAAATATGTAGTTTTTTATTGTAGGCTGTAATTTTTAGGAATAACTCACTGAAATCTGTCCGAACAAGAGTCTAGTAAACATCCCGGGTAGGATAAAACTTGAAACACAAAATCATAAATTATAATTTAATTAATAATCATAAAAAATAATAATATAATAATAAATTTAATTCAATAATATAATCAAACCAAAAACACTGAAATTTTAAATACAGAGGCAAATTCGCACATCGCTGAGCAAAGTTGCAAAATCGTTTTCAGTGTCTGATGACGAATTTCCCCCACGAATCATTATCATTCAATTCTGCAAGTGGTTCTGATTTACTATCGCTGTTCTCTAGCCGGTCTAAAACCGCTTTTGACCTAAAGGGACGCTTTTTGGACGCCATGGACGTTTCTCAGTTTTCCAGGCAGAAAGAACAGTAAAATTGCAGGCAGGGCGCAGGACAAAGCACTCGGGACAGTATGTATGTGAAATGGGTTGAAACAGCAATGTTTTACCATATAATAATAATTTTTTAAAAATTACATTTTTCAAAAATTTCAAATTTGCTGCCGGTTCCGGCGCCCGTACGTCCCAACGTCACAGGGACCGGAACACGGAAGCCGGATGCCGGCATCGGCTAGAGGAGATTGCCGGGGATGCTGCAGGGGACACATCGCGGGAGTGAAGGACAAGGTAAGCTCTGCAGGGACTCCCTGAGCAACGCCGCATGGTAAGCCCGAGTGTAGCTCGGGGTTACCACTCTTGGTATTGAAATTTTACCCCGAGCTACACTCGGGAATACCGCTAGGGAGGTTAAACTACCAACATGTCTTTGGAGGATGGGAGGAAACTGGAGTACCCGGAGGAAACCTGCGCTGCCACAGGGCGAACATGCAAACTCTGATTTATAGATATCTCAGGCAGGGTATATATAGGGTGCTGTTATTTATACATATCTCAGGGAGGGTATATATGGAATAAATGGGATGCTGTGATTAATATATGTATTGGGCAGGGTATATACAGGGTGCTATGATTTACACATATCTCAGGGAAGGTATTTACAGTGAAGGAAATAAGTATTTGCTCCCCTGCTGATTTTGAATGTTTGCTCACTCACAAAGAAATGATCAGTCTAAAAATCGAATGTTCGGTGTATTGTAACACTGAGAGACAGAATAGCACCAACAAATTCAAAAGAAATGCATGTCTAACAAATGATGACTGATCTGCATGTTCATGAGGGAAATAAGTATTTGATCCCCTTCACAAAACATGACTTAGTACTTGGTGGCAAATCTCTTGTTGGCAATCACAGAGGTCAGACGTTTCCTGTAGTTGGCCACCAGGTTTGCACACATCTCAGGAGGGTTTTTGGCCCACTCCTCTTGGCAGATCCTCTCCAAGTCTTTAAGATTTGGTGGCTGATGTTTGGCAACTCAAACTTTCAGCTCCCTCCACAGATTTTCAATCTGATTAATGTCTGGAGACTGGCTAGGCCACTCCAGGACCTTAATGTGCTTCTTCTTGAGCCACTCCTTTGTCGGAGCATGATCCCCTCCCTTCGGAGACTGGGCCGCAGGGCAGTATTCCAACATAACGACCCCAAACACACCTCCAAGACCACCACTGCCTTGCTAAAGAAGCTGAGGGTGAAGGTGATGGACTGGCCAAGCATGTCTCCAGACCTAAACCCCATTGAGCATCTGTGGGGCATCCTCAAATGGATCCTCACCTTAGATTGTACACCCCCTGAGGGTTAGGGACCAATGTGAATGTATAATATATATGTAAAGTGCTGCGTAAAATTGATGGCGCTATATAAGTACCTGAAATAAATAAATAAATGGAAGGTGGAGGAGCACAAGGTCTCTAACATCCACCAGCTCCATGATGACGTCATGGAGGAGTGGAAGAGGACTCCAGTGGCAACCTGTGAAGCTCTGGTGAACTCCATGCCCAAGAGGGTTAAGGCAGTGCTGGAAAATAATGGTGGCCACACAAAATATTGACACTTTGGGCCCAATTTGGACCTTGTCACTTAGGGGTGGACTCACTTTTGTTGCCAGCGGTTTAGACATTAATGGCTGTGTGTTGAGTTGTTTTGAGGGGACAGCAAATTTCCATGTTATACAAGCTGTACACTGACGACGTCACATTGTAACAAAGTGTCATTTCTCCAGTGTTGTCACATGAAAAGATAGAATCAAATATTTACAAAAATGTGAGAGGTGAACTCACTTCTGGGAGATACTGTACACAGGTCTCTGTATATAGGGAGGGGGGGGGGGAGGTGCAGGGATTTATACACAGGTATCTGTATATAGGGGGGGGTGCAGGGATTTATACACAGGTCTCTGTATACAGAGGAGGGGGGTGCAGGGGTTTATACACAGGTCTCTGTATATATAGGGGGGGGTGCAGGGATTTATACACAGGTCTCTGTATACAGAGGGGGGGGGTGCAGGGGATTTATACACAGGTCTCTGTATATATAGGGGGGGGGTGCAGGGATTTATACACAGGTCTCTGTATGTAGGGGGGTGCAGGGATTTATACACAGGTCTTGTATATAGGGGGGGGGTGCAGGGATTTATACACAGGTCTCTGTATACAGAGGAGGGGGGTGCAGGGATTTATACACAGGTCTCTGTATATAGGGGGGGGGGTGCAGGGATTTATACACAGGTCTCTGTATATAGGGGGGGTGCAGGGATTTATACACAGGTCTCTGTATATAGGGGGGGGGGGGTGCAGGGATTTATACACAGGTCTCTGTATATAGGGGGGTGCAGGGATGTATACACAGGTCTCTGTATATAGGGGGGGGGGGGGGGGGGGGTGCAGGGATGTATACACAGGTCTCTGTATATAGGGGGGGGGTGCAGGGATTTATACATAGGTCCCTGTATATGGGGGAGGGGTGCAGGGATTTATACACAGGTCCCTGTATATAGGGGGGTGCAGGGATTTATACACAGGTCCCTGCATATAGGGGGGGGGGGGGTGCAGGGATTATATACACAGGTCTCTGTATATAGGGGGGGGTGCAGGGATTTATACACAGGTCTCTGTATATATATAGGGGGGGGGGGGTGCAGGGATTTATACACAGGTCTCTGTATATAGGGGGGGTGCAGGGATTTATACACAGGTCTCTGTATATAGGGGGGGGGGTGCAGGGATTTATACATAGGTCTCTGTATATAGGGGGGGGTGCAGGGATTTATACACAGGTCTCTGTATATAAGGGGGGGGGTGCAGGGATTTATACACAGGTCTCTGTATATAGGGGGGGTGCAGGGATTTATACACAGGTCTCTGTATATATTGGGGGGGGGTGCAGGGATTTATACACAGGGGGGGGGGGGGTGCAGGGATTTATACACAGGTCTCTATATAGGGGGGGGGGTGCAGGGATTTATACACAGGTCTCTATATAGGGGGGGGGCAGGGATTTATACACAGGTCTCTGTATATAGGGGGGGCAGGGATTTATACACAGGTCTCTATATAGGGGGGGGGCAGGGATTTATACACAGGTCTCTATATAGGGGGGGGGCAAGGATTTATACACAGGTCTCTGTATATAAGGGGGGGCAGGGATTTATACGCAGGTCTCTGTATATAGGGGGGGGGGCAGGGATTTATACACAGGTCTCTGTATATAAGGGGGGGGGCAGGGATTTATACACAGGTCTCTGTATATAGGGGGGGGTGCAGGGATTTATACACAGAGGAGAGGGGTTGCAGGGATTTCCACTCTCGGTCGGTCAGAGCCGCAATCAGTTCGGTTGTCAGGCTCTGGCTCCGGGCAGAGTGCGGGCAGGCGGAGAGTGAGAATGGGGGGGTGGGGTGAGGGAGTGGGGCGGTACCACTGGTCACGGGAACGGAGGGGGGAGGCGGGAGCGCTCTCGGCTCGGAGTGGAATGTTCCTTCGGAGAGAGAGAAAGGAAGAGCAGGCAGACAGGGTGGGCGGGGCCCTATTAGCGCTGGGCGTGCCCAAAGGACTCTCACGAACCCCTTTGCTGTGAAATAGAGGGGGCGTGTCGCTCCCCGCCGCTGTGGGCGGTGCCCAGAGTGTCAGACGGAGCGGCGCTCTGCGAGAAGCTGGGAATGTCGGGGCGTGTCCGGTGAGCTGAGGGGTGGAGGCGTGGCCCGGCGGCACGGCGCGAGGGGAGGAGGAAGGCACCACTTGCAGGAGCCGGAAAGGGGGAGGGCAGGAGAAGGTGCTGCTGCTATCGCTGAGGAGAAAAAAAAAAAAAAAAAAGACAATGGAGCCTGTGTGCGGCTGCGGGAGATTACGGCTGCCGCCGAGCGGCCCGCACTGCCGGCTGTGAGGAGAAGAGCGAGGAAGAGCCCGGAGAGCGCGTCACATTTCCCCCCCCCTCCCCCAACACCACACACACTGCCTCGGATCACCCACCACCCCCGCGCGGGAGATCGCCTCGTCCTGCTACTGCCGGTGAGTGACGGGACTGGAGCAGGCCGCACATCCGGGCAATGACGGCGGACAGGGCCTGAGGCCTGCTGTGTGAGTGAGGAGGGGAGCCGGGCCTGCTGTATTAGGAGGGAGCCGGGCCTGGTGTGTGTGAGGGGACTGAGCCGAGGCCTGAGGGAGGGAGCGGGGACCGTGTGTGTGACGGGGGGGACCCCTGCCCTGTGTGGGGGGTCAGTCAGGGCCGCTTCTCCTGTGTGGGGCCTAAACCTACCTGATGTAGGGATTTGCCTCCTGAGTGAGGGAAGCTGACACATGGGGAACAAGAGGGATCGGCCGGGGGGGCTCCTCAATTCCTGGGGGGCAAACAGGACCTGACATGACATAGCTCCAATGTGGGGGCGGGGAGGACCTTTTGGGGTACCTTGTATAGGGACTCCTCTGTAGGGACATATCTCCTGTGTTGGGACAGAATACATCAATTCTGATTGGGACCTGAGGATACCTTTCATAGGGACTCATCTCTAGGGACTTGGCATAAGGACATGTCTCCTGTGTTGGGACGAAATGGATCTCTTCTGTTGGTTGGGACCTGAGGATACGTTGCGTAGGGACCTATCGGTAGGGACTTGGCTTAAGGACATGTCTCCTGTGTTGGGACAGTATACATGTATTCTGCTGGTTGGGACATGAGGATACCTTTCATAGGGACTCATCTGTAGGGATTTGGCATAAGGACATGTCTCCTGTGTTGGGACAAAATAGATATCTTCTGCTGCATGGGACCTGGGGATATATTTTGTAGGGACCTATCGGTAGGGACTTGGCTTAAGGACATGTCTTCTGTGTTGGGACAGTATACATGAATTCTGCTGCATGGGACCTGGGGATATATTTTGTAGGGACCTATCGGTAGGGACTTGGCTTAAGGACATGTCTCCTGTGTTGGGACAGTATACATGAATTCTGCTGCATGGGACCTGAGGATACCTTTTTGTAGGGACTTGGCATAAGGACATGTTTCCTGTGTTGGGACAAAATGGATCTCTTCTGTTGGTTGGGACCTGTGGATATGTTGCGTAGGGACCTATCGGTAGGGACTTGGCTTAAGGACATGTCTCCTGTGTTGGAACAAAATGGATCTCTTCTGCTGCATGAGACCTGAGGATACCTTTCATAGGGACTCCTCTGTACGGACTTGGCATAGGGACATGTCTCCTGTGTTGGGACAGTATAGATGTATTCTGCTGGTTGGGACATGAGGATACCTTTCATAGGGACCTATCGGTAGGGACTTGGTTTAAGGACATGTCTCCTGTGTTGGGACAGTATACGTGTATTCTGCTGCATGGGACCTGAGGATACCTTTTGTAGGGACTTATCTCCTGTGCTGGGACGAAATAGATCTCTTCTGCTGCATGGGACCTGAGGATACCTTTCATAGGGACTCATCTGTAGGGACTTGGCATAAAGACATATCTCTTGTGTTGGGACAAAATAGATCTCTCCTGCTGGGTGGGACCTGAGGATACGTTTTGTAGGTACTCACCTGTAGGAACTTTTCATAGGGACATGTCTGCTGTGTTGGGACCGTATAGATGTATCCTGCTGCATGGGACTGGAGGATACCTTTTGTAGGGACTTGGCATAAGGACATGTCTCCTGTGTTGGGACAGTATAGATGTATTCTGCTGCAAGGGACTTGATACCTTTTGTAGGGACTCATCTGTAGGGACTTGGCATAAGGACATATCTGCTGTGTTGGGAGAGTTTAGATCTTTTCTGCTGTATGGGGCCTGAAGATACCTTGCGCAGGGACTTCTCTCCTGTATGAGGACATATACGACATTTCATAGGGACATATCTCCTGTGTGTGGACAGATGACATATGACATGTGTGTAAACAGACCGGATCTGACATAAGGACTTTTCCTTATGTGGGTGTGGAGAGGACTCGGCACAGGGACATATCTCCTGTGTTTCTGGGGACAGGGGGGGGGGTCGGGTATCATGACATCTCTTGTATGTGTGTGGGGGCAGAAAGGATCTATTCTGCATGGGACCGGAGTGTACCTGGCATAGGGATTTAGCTCCTCTGTGGGATGAGAATACCTTACACAGGGACACCTCTTCTTTATGAGGACCTATAAGGTGTTGCACAGGGACAGATCTTCTGTGAGGACTGAGTACATATTATGACATATAACATGTATTTGTGTAAACAGAGAGGACCTGACATGGGGACATATCTCTTTATGTGAGTACAGTAAGAGCCTGATTTCATTGTTGGGGACCAAGAGGACCTGACATAGGGACGTATCTCCCGTGTGTGGGCAGAGAGGACCTATTCTCCTGTACGGGACCTTAGGGTACCTGGCACAAGGAAATATCTCCTATGTGATGGAACATTCTGTGAGTTCTCTCTTGTGTGGGGACAGAGAGGACATAGCATGGGAACATCTCTTGTATTTCTAGGGACAGAGAGGACCGAGCATCAGGAGATATCTGGTGTATAAATGTCAGGTCTGAGAGAACCTATTCTGCATGGAACCTGAGAATACCTGGCATAGGGACTTCTCTCCTGTGTGAGGGGACATTCTGTAGGGACATACCTCCTGTATGAGGACAGAGAGGGCCTTGCATAGGGACATAGCTTGTGCTTTGTGACAGAGAGGAGTTGATTCTCCTGTGTGAGGTTTGATTGGCCTGGGGTATGTGTGAGGGCAGATGGGACCTGACATAGGGACATATCTCTTGTGTTGGGGCAGAATAGATCTGTTCTCTTTCATGAGTGTTCCTTATATAGGGACCCATCTCCTCTGTGGGGATGGAGAAGACCTTGCATAGAGACATACTTCCTGTATGAGGACATAGAAGATGTTCCATAGGGACATATTTTCTGTGTTGGGCCAGAATAGATTATTATTATGCAGGATTTATATAGCGCCGACAGTTTTCTCAGCACTTTACAATATGGTGGGAGACAGTACAGTAACAACACAGTTCAATACAAGAGGGATAGGAGGGCCCTGGGAGCTTACAATCCAGGAGGGAGGGGCTAGTAGTACAAAAGGTAGTAACTGTGGGGGATGGAGTGGTTGGAAGAGTAGAAGATTTCCAGTATTATCTGGGGTCGGGGTAGGCTTCCCTGAAGAGATAGGTTTTCAGAGTGCGCCTAAAAGTTAACAGAGTAGGCAATAGTCTGATAGATTGGGGTAGGGAGTTCCAGAGGATGGAGGAAGCCCCGGAGAATTCCTGGAGACGAGCAAGGGAGGAGACAAGGGAACTAGAGAGTAGGAGGTCTTGCGAGGAGCGGAGCGGACGGACTGTTTGGGTGATATTTGGAGACAAGATCAGTGATGTAATTTGGGGCAGAGTTATAAATGGCTTTATACGTCAGTGTTAGTGTTTTGAATTTTATCCATTGGGCAATGGGAAGCCAGTGGAGGGATTGGCAGAGAGGGGTGGAGGGCACTGAGTGGAGGCCAGTGGAGGGATTGGCAGAGAGGGGTGGAGGGCACTGAGTGGAGGCCAGTGGAGGGATTGGCAGAGAGGGGTGGAGGACACTGAGTGGAGGCCAGGGATTGGCAGAGAGGGGTGGAGGACACTGAGTGGAGGCCAGAGGAGGGATTGGCAGAGTGGAGGACACTGAGTGGAGGCCAGTGGAGGGATTGGCAGAGAGGGGTGGAGGACACAGTGGAGTGGGGATTGGCAGAGAGGGGTGGAGGGCACTGAGTGGAGGCCAGTGGAGGGATTGGCAGGGGTGGAGGGAGTGCAGGCCAGTGGAGGGATTGGCAGAGAGGGGTGGAGGCCAGTGGAGGGATTGGCAGAGAGGGGTGGCAGATATGGAACGGTTAGTAAGGTGGATAAGTCTGGCAGCAGCATTCATGAAAGACTGAAGAGGGGATAGCCTGCGATGAGGTCGGCTAATGAGGAGGGAGTTACAATAGTCAAGGTGAGATATAACAAGGGAGGGAATAAGTTGCTTAGTGGTTTCCGGGGTTAGGTATCTTGGAGATGTTGTGGAGGTGAAGTCTACATGAGTTTGTCAGTGATTGGATTTGGGGCTGAAAGGACAGATGGGAGTCTAGGATTACACCTAGTACCCTGGCATGAGGGGAGGGACTGATGGTTGTATTATTGATCTTGATGGAGAAGTCAGGGGGGGGCACGGGCTGGGGGGAATACTAGGAGCTCAGTTTTGGAAAGATTGAGTTTGAGGAAGTGGCAATTTTCTGTGTTGGGCCAGAATAGATCTAGGGACCCGAGGGTACCTTGCATAGGGATTTATTTCCTCTGTGAGCGGACGTTCCATAGGGACATATCTCCTATATGTGGACAGAGAGGACCTGACATAGGGACATCACATGCCTGATGAATCATTGGGTACCTTACATAGGGACTTCTCTCCTGTATTTGTGTGGACAGAGTACCTGTTATCATGACATATGTCATGTATGTGTGTGAACAGAGGTGACCTAGCACAGGTATGTATCACCTGAGTTTGAAGAGACCTGACAGACCTAGGGACTCATCTCTTGTGTTGGTACAGACAGTACCTACTTTTCTTTGTAGGGGACAGAGAGGACCTGGCCTAGGGAGATCTTATTCTCCTGTGTGGGACCTGAGGATTACCTGGCATATGGGGACTTATCTTCTATCTGATGGGACATTCTGTGGAGTCAGAGAGGACCATGCATAGGGACATACCTTGTGTATGGGGTCAGAGCACTTAGGAGACCTGACACATAAGGAATAAAGGGGATTGGCCTGGGGACAGAGGGAACCTAACATGGGACCCTATCCACAGTGTGTGAGGACAGTAGGACCTTACAGAGGCACACAGTGGGGAACATATTTAATCCCATGCAGATTTTGTAGGTTTGCCCACTTACAAAGAAATGAAGAGTCTATAACTTTTATCATAGGTGTGTTTTAAACATCAGAGACAGAATATCAACCAAAAATCCAGAAAAACACGATACAAATGTTATAAATTGAGCTGCAGTTCAGTGAGTAAAGTATTTGATCCCCAAGCAGAACATGACTTGATACTTGGTGGAGAAACCCTTGTTGGCAAACAGAGGTAAGATGTTTCTTGTAGTTGGTTGCAGGTTTGTACACATCTCAGGAGGGATTTTGAGCCACTCTTCTTTACAGATCTTCTCTAAATCCTTAAGGTCTCTTAGCTATCGCTGTGCAACTTGAAGTTTTCTGCTCCCTTCTTAAATGTTCCATAGGATTAAGGCTAGGCCACTCCATGACCTTATCCACTTCCCGTCCGGCCCATGTACATAAACGGCTGGACGGGAGCAGTGCAGGAGCAGGTGGCCGTTTATAAATGGCCTCCGCATTCCCTGCCTGTGCGTGCTCCCTGTGAGCGCGCGGCACTGCGATCCAGTGCCCGCTGTGTCCCTGGACACAGCAGAAACACAGATCGCTGTACAGGACCTCTGTGCGAGGTCCCGATCATGTGATCACTGATTGGTCAATCAGTGATCACATGAATATAGTAAAGCAAGATGTCACTAAGGACTGGCAAGCTGCAGTATATTATATTTTGTTTTTTGTGTTTAAAACGGAGTTTCAGTCAGTTTTCTGTTTATTAATCACTTCCCGTCTGACCCATGTATATAAACAGCCAGACGGGAGCAGTGCAGAGGCGGGTGGCCGTTTATAAACGTCCTCCCCGCTTCCCTGCCTGTGTGCGCTCTGTGGAAGTGCGCAGCACCGTGATCCGGTGCCCACTGTGTCCGAAGGAACACCGATCGCTGTACAGGACCTCTGTGGCCGTTCATAAATTGCGCCCGTATTCACAGCCTGTGCGCACTCCCAGGTAGCGACCGCGGCACTGCGATCTGATGCCCGCTGTGTCCTTCTCAGACACTGATCGCTGTACGGGACCTCTGTGTGAGGTCCCGATCATGTGATCACTGATTGGCCAATCAGTGATCACACATAGAGTGTAAGCAAGATGTCACTTCTGACATCATTGCTTACTACGTGTGAAATCTGTGAATGATCACAGAGGTCACATGGTACAAGGCTATTCACAACAGCCTTGTACCATGTGACAAGCTGTGACCAATCACAGCTCTCACAGTATTTCTCAATGGCTGCAAGAATGCAGCCAGAGAGAAGAAGAAATGATTGCTTTTACAGCCTTTATGGGTGTAAAAGCAATCAGTGTAAAACAAAAAAAAAAAAAATCTTCCTCACCCCCCACAAGTAGTACAGTGTCACTATGGTGACGCCGTACTGCTAGGGTGACAGTATGTTAAAAAACAAAACAAATAATATAAAAATGTAAGAAGAATTTTAGACAAATTATAATTTTTTGGTTATAGACTAATTTTTGTTTTTTTTTTTTTTTTTTACCAAAAAGATAGCTGAATACATTTTGGCCAAGATTTATGAACAAAGATTATTTATTTACAAATTGTTATAAGAAAAACACTTTTTTTTTTTTTTTCAAAATGTTTGGACTTTTTTTTCATTTATATAGCAAAAAAATAAAAATCCCAGTGTTGAATAAATACCACCAAAATAAAGTTTTATCTGTCTCAAAAAATGCTAAAAAAATTCATATGGGTACAGTGTTGCATGACCGCGCAATTGTCATTCAAAGTGTGATGGCGCTGAAAGCTGAAAATTGCCCTGGGCAGGAAGGGGGTGAAAGCTTCCGGACTTGAAGTGGTTAAGGTATTTCCTCTTGAACCACTCCTTTGTTGCCTTGGTGGTATGTTTTGGGTCATTGCCATGCTGGAAGACCCATCCATAACCCATCTTCAGTGTTGACTGGCTGAGGGAAGAAGGTTCACATCCAAGATTTTACAATACATGGCCCCGTCCATTGGCCCCTCAATGCAGCAAAGTCGGCCTGTACCTTTAGCAGAGAAACAGCCCCAAAGCATAATGGGGGAGATTTACTAAAGCTGGTTCACTCAGAATCTGGTGCAGCTGTTCATGGTAGCCAATCAGCTTTTAACCACCTCAGCTTGTTCAATTAAGCTTTGGCAATAAAACCTGGAAGCTGATTGGTTCCTATGCAGAAGTGAACCTGATTTTCCCCTCCAGCTTTACTAAATAAAGCCCAATGTTTCCACCTCCGTTCTTGACTGTAGGGATGGTGTTCTTGGGGTCATAGTCAGCATTTTTCTTCCTCCAAACATGGCAAGTAAACGTCAAAGAGCTGAATTTTGGTCTCATCTGACAACAGCACTTTCTCCCAATCCTTCTCTGAATTTAGATGTTTATTGGCAAACTTCAGATGGGCCTTCTTGAGGAGGGGGACCTTGCGGGCGCTGCAGGATTTCAATCCATGGCGGCGTCTTGTTGACCAATGGTTTGTTTGGTGACTGTGGCCCCAACTGCCTTGAGATCATTCACAAGCTCCTCTTGTGTAGTTCTGGGCTGATCCCTCACTTTCCTCATGATCATCCTTACCCCATGAGGTGAAATCTTGCACGGAGCTCCAGAGTGAGGGCGATTGATTGTTATTTTATATTTCTTCCATTTGCAAATAATCCAAACTGTTCCGATCCATCAGTTGTCTCCTTCTCACCCAGCTTTTTGCTGGTGGTCTTGTATCCCATTCCAGCCTTGTGCAGGTCTACAATCTTGTCTTTGAAGTCCTTTGACAGCTCTTTGGTCTTACCCATGGTGGTGCCCAAGAAATATATTCTGTGGACAGGTGTCTTTTATACACATAACGAGTTGTTGTCGTTAGGAGCACCTTCCTAAATTGACAGGACTAAACCACATGAGCACATAGCCAGTCTGTGGGAGCCAGAATTATTGGTTGGTAGGGGATCAAATACTTATTTTACTCACTAAACTGCAACTCAATTTATAACATTGTATTGTGTGTTTTTTCTGGATTTTTGGTCTCTATCGTTTAAAATACACCTATGATAAAAAACATAGACCCTTCATCTCTTTGTAAGTGGGCAAACTTACAAAATCTGCAGGGAATCAAATAATTTCCCCCACTGTATCTCTGTGGATATCAGGAGGCCCTTATCTTCTGTGTGTGGGAGCAGAGAAGACCTGACATAGGGACGTATCTCCTTTGTGGTGGCAAATAGGTCCTCTTCTCAAGTGTGGGACCTGAAGGTATCTGGCATAGGGACTTGTCCCCTATGTGATGGGACATTCCGTAGGGCAATAACTCCTGTGTGGGTGCAGAAAGTACCAGACATAAGGACATAGCTTGTGTTTGGGGACAGAGAAGAATTGAATGTTCGTGTAAGAGAGGGAACCTGGCATAGGGACATATCTCCCGCATTTGTGGGGACAGAAAATGTGTGTGTGTTTGTGACCTGATATAGCGACATTTTTGTACTGTGAGTGCAGAGAAAACCTGACATAGGGATGCATCTCCAGTTTGAGTACAGAGAGAACCTGACTTCCCTTGTGGGGATCGAGAAGACATCTCATAAGGACACATCTCCTGTGTTTCTGGGACAGAGGGTACCTGGCATCATGAGATATTGCTTGTTTTGTGTATGGGGACACAGGGCATATCTCCTGTGTTAGGACAGACAAGATCTGACATAGGGACATATCTCCTATGTTAGGTGACATTCCGTAGGACGTTATCTCCTGTGTATGCATAGAGAAGACCTAGCACAGGTACATACCTCCTGTGTGTGGACAGATGTGGCCTGGCATAGGGTTAGATCTGTATTTGTGGGAACAGAGAGTACCTATCATCATAACCTATATCATGTATGTGTGTAAACACAGGGAACCTGACATGGGGACATTTCTGTTGTTTGGGTGCAGAGAGGACCAGACGCAGGGGCTGAAGGCACCGGACACAAGGAATCATAAGTCCTGCACATGAGGACAGAAGGAACTGGACACAGGATGTATCTCCTGTGTTTGAGGGCAGAAGGCACTTGGCACAAGGACATACTTCCTGTGCATGAGGACAGAAGGGACCTGACACATGGACGTAATCTACTGTGTATGAGGACAGAGGGGACTTGACACGGGGATTCATCCCCTGTGTATGAGGACAGAGGGGACTGACACGAGGATGCATCCCCTGTGTATGAGGACAGAGGGGACCTGACACGGGGACGCATCTCCTGTGTATGAGGACAGAGGGGACCTGACAGGGGGTCGTATCCCCTGTGTATGAGGACAGAGGGGACCTGACAGGGGGACGTATCCCCTGTGTATGAGGCCAGAGGGGACCTGACAGGGGGACGTATCCCCTGTGTATGAGGCCAGAGGGGACCTGACAGGGGGAAGCATCCCCTGTGTATGAGGCCAGAGGGGACCTGACACGGGGAAGCATCCCCTGTGTATGCGGCCAGAGGGGACCTGACACGGGGACGCATCCCCTGTGTATGAGGCCAGAGGGGACCTGACACGGGGACGCATCCCCCTGTGTGTGAGGCCAGAGGGGACCTGACACGGGGAAGCATCCCCTGTGTGAGGACAGAGGGGACCTGACACGGGGAAGCATCCCCTGTGTATGAGGCCAGAGGGGACCTGACACGGGGACGCATCCCCTGTGTATGAGGACAGAGGGGACCTGACACGGGGACGCATCCCCCGTGTGTGAGGACAGAGGGGACCTGACACGGGGACGCATCCCCTGTGTATGAGGACAGAGGGGACCTGACACGGGGACGCATCCCCTGTGTATGAGGCCAGAGGGGACCTGACACGGGGACGCATCCCCTGTGTATGAGGCCAGAGGGGACTGACACGGGGACGCATCCCCTGTGTATGAGGACAGAGGGGACCTGACACGGTGACCCATCCCCTGTGTATGAGGACAGGGGGGACACATCCCTGTTTGAGGAAAAAGGGGACCTGACATCAGGACTTATCTTTGTGTGAGTGGACCATGCATAGGGACATGACCTGAGTGTGTGTGAGGGCAGAGAAGACCTGACACATAGGAAAAAAGGGAATTGGCAAGGGGAGCTATCTCCTGTATTTGAGGGTACAAAGAGGACCTGACGATAGGACATATTTCTTGTGTGTGCGGTCACAGAGGATGTATTCTGCATTTTACCTGAGGGTGCCTTGCATAGGGACAAATCTGTTATGCTGCAGACAGAGAGGACCTACCATAGAGACCTACAACGATCAGCCATAACATTATGACCACTGACAGGTTAAGTGAGTAACACTGATTATCTGATTAGTGACATCCTAAAGTTGGTGCGATATTTTCAGCTGCAAGTAAACATGTTGTCCCTGAGGTTTGGCATCCCAGTTTGTGGTGTATGGGGCTTTGTACCCGCAGACTGCTCAGGATGCCAATGCTGACCTGTGTCCAGAGCTAGCAATGAGTATGTGAGCTTCAGGACTGGACTGCGGAGCAATGCAAGAAGGTGGCCTGGTCTGACGAATCATGGTTTTCTTTAAATCATATGGATGGCTGGGTGCACATGTCTCCTTTCTGAGGAAGCGATGGCACCAGGATGCAGTATGGGAGGAACACAAGCCATTGGAGGCAGTGGGATGCTTCGGGCAATGTTCTGCTGGGAAACCTCGGGTCTTGCCATTTATGTGGATGTTACTTGACAAGTACCACCTATCTAAACATTGTTGCCAACCAAGTACACCCCTTCATGGTATTCCCTGATGGCAGTGACCTCTTTCAGCAGGATAATGCACCCTGCCACACTGCAAAAATGGGTCAATAATTGTTTGAGGAACACAACAGTGAATTTGAAGTGTTGACTTGGCCTCCAGATTATCCAGATCTCTCAATCCATTGAGCATCTGTGGGATGTGCTGGAAAAAATAAGTGCAATCTATGGACGCCTCACCTTGCAATTTACAGGACCTGAAGATTTGGCTACTGACGGCTTGGTGCCAGATACCACAGAATAACTTCAGAGGTCTGTTAGTGACCATGCCTTTACAGGACAGGGCTGTTTGGTGGCAAAAGGGGGACCTACTCAATATTAGGGGGATCATCATAACGGTGTGGCTGATCAGTATATCTTGTGTATCCACTTGCCTACCGGGCACTTATACCCCCTTCCTTACCAGGCCAATTTTCAGCTTTCAGTGC